AGTTATTAGTGAAGAAAACCCGTCAGCAGACTGACTGCTCGTAAAATGTACGACAGGTCTGGACCACTCGTGAATTTTGTTCGTATCTGAAAAAATTCTTAGAATACGAAAACATTGGTGAATGCCACAAATTCTCCTAAATCACTCGTATGCACAATTTAAGAACAAATCTGTGCGTACGAACGGTTCTTGCATGAGGCCCAGTGAGTAGAATGGACAAAAAATCTCTTCTGAATGTCCTAGACAAAAGACTTAAAGCAGTTTTTATAATCTAGGAGCTGATTTCAGTGCTTTTTAAGTAGAACAAAAAAAAAAGAGAGAAATTATATGTACATATATATTTTTTCTTTCTTTGGGTGGAGGTATTCACAGAATTTCACGGCAAGCTAATGTGTTTAATCTGAAGGATTTTAAAATAAGTCAAGGATGCACGATATATCGGTATTGATATCGGTATCGGCCGATATTGGTAATATTTTAGAATATCTTATCGGTCCGATATGTAAAAATGGGCCGATACTAATGTCCGATATTGATTTCCCACTTTTTAGCTTCGTGTTTCTGTTTTGGGAGGGGAGATGGTTGGTTGAGCAGCATCTGTTTGATCATAATATTGATACTGACGCTGCGTAGTCAGGAATAACTGAAGTAAGGAGCCATGTCAGAGGTCTGGTCATTTATTTAACGTATCAAAAAAAAGACCCAAGTGTGTTTGTGCATATATGTATAATATAATTTGTGTGTTTGTGTAATATCGGTAAATATCGGTTATCGGCCATGACAACAATAATTATATCGGATATCGATATCRGCTGAAATTTTCGTATCATTGCATTCCTATAAGTCACCACTATGTTGCACAAAGCTAAATAGAGTAGTTTACTGAAGTCACAAATACATAAACAATGTTTGTAGGTATGCAGCACTATCTGGCCCTGTGGTAGTGTCAACAAAAAATCTCCCTTTCAATGATTTATGTTGCCCCGTCCCTGTCCTAGAAGATAACGTCCAAAACTTGAACACTGTATTTCACATCTATTAGCTGTGGCTACCATCTTAAGCTGGGTTTKCTCCAAAAGTTAAACTACTTAAAGAAATACATTCAGTGATTGTTTCCTGAAAGTTTCATTTAAATTTGTCAAGTAATGCAAGAGAAAATTTGGTAACAGACAGACAGCAGCCATCTTGAATCAGATTCACTCTAATTGTTGCAGACGTATATCTGAAAGTACCTTCTGTGAGTTCCGTTATATTTTATCTGGTGGTTTGTGAGGTATTTTGCTAACAGGCAGAACGTACACAAACATGACAGAAAACATTATTTCATGCCATCAAAAGTCATTTAGTACAACTGGTAACAATTAGGTGCTCACACACAGTTTGTGGTGTTGTAATAGATTCATCTAAATGAAGCTCTTTACTGTTTGAATGTTTGGACAGTTAAAAAGAAAGAGAAAGCAATATTTCATAAGAAAATACATTTGTGTCAAAATGTCATTGCAGCAAGCTTTGCAAAAAAAAACCCCTTCCTGTTCCAAGGGACGTTAGGGCATCGGCTTTAAAAGCTCTGAAAGCTTCTACTCAGGAGCGCACTTAGAGTAATAAAGCTGCGGGATACATACTGGACTCTGCAAGATTTGGGTGACTCGTTTCTTCTGCTCCATCATGTTGAAGTCCTGCCTCAGGTCTGGCGACAGGGTCCTGCCGCGGAGGTGGTGCTCCGGGTCGCTCTCTGGGTCAAAGTGGCGCTCTCTGGGGCTGTTGCTGGACAGGGGCAGGGTCAGGGACCCGGCTGTCTGCCTCACGTCCACCAAACTCATGTTTTCACTGCAAAGAGGCCCTCCTGTAGCTCCGGTTCTGGAGGAGAGAGGAGAAGAGGACGTCACAGCTCGGCTCAAATCTAGGCTGTCAAGGCAACAACAGATGTAGCTTTAGCTGAGAAGTGACTCACATAATTATGGAGATAAAAGACAAAAGCAAAGCGAGCACACTTATAAGAGTGATGTTGATTTAGATGAGAATTTAAAAAAGATGTATTAGTCACAGCTATTTTGTGAATCTGAAGGCTTACAACAATGTTCTCTGGGGTATTCTGAGGTGCTATGGTACGATGTGGTCTAACAAGTCCTTTAAGGGCTATTCAGTTCATGTCAAACCAAAACAAGAGTTATGCTAACATACTTCACAAAGTCAAGCTTATTCCTTGAGTGAGTTGGGTTAGACTCACTCAAGGCCAGAACTGTCCCTTGTCTCCGATCCAGTTTGCAGGGTTCAGGCATGGACAAGATTTCTTTGTGCAGTCATGGAGGGGAGGGTGTCTGCTTTGGGAACCTCAGTGTCTCATCTTTGCTCCTTGCAAATGATGTGGTTCCGTTGGTGTCTTCACATCACCATTTTCAGCCTGCATTGATGTAATTTGCCAAGTCTGAAGTGGCTGAGAWGAAAGTCTGCTCCTTTCAGTCGGAGGCCATGGTTCTCCACTGGAAAAACTGGAATGCTCACTCCGGGTCGAGGGGGAGTCTTCGCCTCAAGGGGAAGGGTTCAAGTGTCTGGGAATCTTGTTTACTAATAAAGGATGGCGTGGGAGATGGGTCAACAGATTTGGACCTCAGTCCCAATAATGAGGGCATTGTTCCAGTCTGTTGAGGTGAAATCAGAGCTAAGCTGAAGAGCAACAATTTAATTTATACTCTAGCATGCATCTACGGGTATGAGGTAGAAATCCATCCATTATTTTCCATACATGCTGAATTGGGTTGCGGGAGCAGCTCCACAGCCACCTCTTCCAGGAGGATTCCAAGGCCGAGAGTCTTTCCAGAACATCCTGGGTCTTCCTGTGGGTCTCCTCCCAGTTCGACATGCCTGAGGCACCTCCTAGGGAGCATCTAAAACCACCTCAATTGGCTCCTCTAGATTTGAGGACCTACAGCTCTGTCTGTACCAGATAACTCAACTTCTCATAAATCATGGTATAAGTTATGGTTAAAAAAGAAACACAATCTTGGGTGCAAGTGGATGAAACGAGGTTCCTCCAGAAGACGGCTATAGGCTCAACCTTAGAGAAAGCGAAGAACCGCGTGATCCGAGCGTAGCAGATTTGCTGCTTCGCCGCATTAAAGGGAGTCATCTGAGGCGGTTCAGGTGGCGATAGAGGGTGCCTCTCTTTGGAGGTTTTCTAGGCATGTCCCACTGGGAGGAGACGCCCTGGGCGGATCCGGAACTCGTTGGTGAGATCTTTAATTCTCTCTGACCTGGGATTCCCTCCTGTGCCTGTTGCCTTGATGACCCGACCATGGACAGGTAGCACAAAATGGACGAATGAATGAACGAACGTTTGGAGCCAATGAATGCACCATAAAAACACAAGATCTGAGTGAACATGTCTCACACAGCAAATAGCTTTTTTCTTTTCTTACAAGCATTTATTCAGCAGTTTAAGTTCAGAAACTCCCAACTGGGTGGGTGGGTGGTAGGGAGGGAGGGGGTTTTTCTTACTTGAAAGCAGTTACTCCCCCCCCCTCTTCTATTCAGGGGTGGGGGGGCATGCTGGTCGCTGGTAAACAAAGGTAGGCCTGTTGTAAATGAACTCATCTAGAGAGCAGTTTGCACCTTTTTCGTGCTGCAGTGTAATCTGGATGTGGGGGTGGAGGAGCGGGGAGAAATGGGGCGATAAGTTGTTGTTTTTTTACTCCAGCCTTATCTACACCAGCTGGTAGGCATCAGACTACAACTTTAAAAGCACAAGCAATAGAATATGCATCCCACTAAAGAATAGTAGGCTATATTTATAAAAAAAAAAAAAAAAGGCCAACAACAGAGATCAAACTAAGTAAACTGTTGGAAGTAAATTGAATATTACCTTTCAAAAAGTACTCTCAGCTGCGTAATGTCGACCGGGAAGTGGATGAAGGAGAAGTGCACGGATGTTATTCCCAAATCGGATACATGGTGAAGAAGAGAGAGCGCGGAAGAAAGAAAAGCTTCGCAAGACGCAACAGTATCCAGACGGAGCGGACTGCCCGCTGCGGGGAGGAAGGACTGAGCTGAGGAGAGAGAGAGACAGGCTGCATGGAGGGAGTATGTGGGTGTGTTTGTGTGGGAAAAAGGAAAAGTGGCCATGTGACTTCACTTATCCACCCACCAGGCCTCGTAGCGGGACAAAAGAGCGCCCAGGATTGTAGTTTTTTTTCTTACCACCACCATGCTGCCTGCAGCTCTCTGCCTGGAATCAGGCAGCAGCGAGTTTACAACTTTATCCAGTGGATCTGTAAAAATCCCCGAAGAGAAGAAACAAACAAATAAAAACTTGTGACGAATGGTCTTATTTTTTTAATCCCTCATATCCCAGTTTTTGTTTGCAACTCTATTTTACAAATGAAAGGCATCGCATTCCTTGGGCCAATGCATATCGCCCGCCGCCTGCTTGAGTTTTTGAGCAATAGTTTCCGCGCCAAGTGACCTGCAAGAGCTTCTAACAGCCTGTGCTGACTGCAAATACGCACTCAAAAAACAGATTGTTGGATTTACTTAACCAAGTCAACAATTTCCACTGACCTGAGTTGGTGTAAAGTAACTTTCACATTTTCTTTAAGATTAAATGTGAACCAGTGTTCATGTTCAATATTTTTGGCTACGTTCACACTGCAGGCAAATCCGACCCAAATCGGATGTTTTTGACCCATCTGACTCATATCCGATTTTGTTTACGGCAGTCTGAACGAGACAAATCCGATATTTTTCAAATCCGACCCAGGCCGTTTCAGTATGTGGTTTTAAATCGGATATACACTCACCGGCCACTTTATTAGGTACACCTGTCCAACTGCTTGTTAACACTTAATTTCTAATCAGCCAATCACATGGCGGCAACTCAGTGCATTT